GCACCGTGCTAAGTACGCCTTGTAAATTATCGTTTGCTTTTTTCCACTATTTTCATTTTTGTTATGCCAACACAATCAAGCGCAGCTATTCCGCTGCAATTCACTTGATCATGTGGTTGTTGGTATTGTTGGTTTTTGCTAATAATTCTATTTTTAGAATGTTTAACTTTTAGGTGTGCTCGTCCTTAAGTTATTTGTTTTTGTTATTTTTTTGGCCTTATAACAATTATATTCAACAATTTATATTGAGCTCGAGGCCGTTTTTTAAATGAAAATTTATTGTGGAAAAGCAACAATAATTTGAAAAAATGGTAGAAGTGATAGCTATTTCGGAAATCACCACATTTCCTCATCAGACTTCTTTCAGTAGGATTCGAACCGACGATCACCACTGACTCAGCAGCTGCTGCGTCGATGCGGCCATTCACTTTAATCAAACCATCGATGTCTAAAAACGGCGTAAGTTGGTATAACGGGCTCGACTTCGACACTTTTTGCTTAGAGCGCAACTCTTCTAATTCGTTAGGAAAGACCTCTTCCTAAACGCGGCGACATACGAAGACTTCTGAGTCAGTGATCTCAAATGCTTTTAGCTCTCCTGATCGGCGAATACGGTTTCTTGCGTTAAAGTTGAATCGTAACACCCAGCTCGTTACCCTAAGTAACTTCAAAAAAGAAGAAAATTTTGTAAAATCAATGACATACTCATCTGTTGTTGAGGTGAGAAGCAATATTTTCTTCTCCTCGGCAGCACATTCTGTTGACGGAAGCGGCGTAACTTCTTTTGGCTACTCGGATTCTGGGAGTTGCAGAAAGGTAGGTCCCTTGAACCAGAGGTTTCGTGCATCGGATTCTGTCATGGGCTGACCTCGTGTGGCATCGTCGGCAACATTCAACGACGAAGGCAACCATCTCCACTGTACTGGGTTTGTGGTAGAAATGATTTCGGCGATTCTACCAGCGACGAATTGTTTGTATTCTCTAGTCGTCGAGCGGACCACAGCAATACTATCTTTGAGTCACTCCACAATACGATGCGATATATATTGAAGTCGTGGTATTCCACAACTGACTTCTGAAGACGGCTACCAAGAACGGCCGCTTGCAGTTCCAAGCGGGGAATTGTCATGCCCTTAAGAGGATCACAACGCGATTTAGCGGCGACAAATGCGATTTCAACGTCTTCCCCTTTGCATATGCGCAGATACGCGATGGCTGCATATGAACTAGAGCTGGAATCCACGAACACATGTAACAGCACTCGTCTGCCACTAGCAGCATTGTAGAATGGCATCTTGGGATGGAAAGTTTGGTTACATTCTGAAAACTTGTCCACCATGATGTCCACTGCACAACGAGTTGGTTCGGGATTGGTTCATCCCAATCGACTTGACGTTTCCACAAAGACTGCAGCAGAATCTTCATACATACTGTGATATTAGCTAAAAACCCGAATGGGTCGTATATAGCCATCACGATCCCTAAGAGTTCGCGCTTTGTTGGTGGTCTTATGCAATCAAGAACATCACGTGCGATCTTGTGAAACCTTGTGTGGAACTCGCAGCAGTCAGTGAGGGGATTCCAGTACATACCCAACACCTTGTCGACAATAGACTTTCACTCCATGTCTACAACTCTATCTGCGAAATTGTTCTCGCCATTCAGTTTGGCTTGAAGACCTTTGTCGTTTGACACAAATTTCCTTAGCGTAAAACCTGCAGCGGAGTTTATAGCAACTGCTTCCTTGGCGACTTCTTCGGCTTCTTGCGCATTTGCAAAACTGATAAATAAGTCATCAACATACATATTGTTAATGACAGCTGACGATCCACCTAGCATGTTGGATTCAAATTTCAAGGCATTAATATTTTTTATATACTCTGCGCAGTACGGTGAGCATATGGCACCAAAAATCGGCGAGCACATAACGTAGGTCCGGATCGCCTTCGAGGGATCCCCATCGCGCCATAAGCCGTTGCGAATTCTGGTCATCAGGTTTGATGGCTACCTGGGAAATCATCTCTTGCACATCTGCAGCGACGGCTATAACCCCTTGGCGAAATTTTAAAATTATTGTAAGCAAAGATTGTGCATGCTCCGGTCCCTTGAGCAAGGCTGAGTTGAGCGAAACATTCGACGTGGCAGCGGCGGCGTCAAACACAACACGTAGTCTACCTGGTTTGTGGGGGTTGACAACCCCAAAATGTGGAGGGGGTCGTAGGAGTAATTAACAAAACTTCATCTGGATTCAACAGCCTGGCTATTTCACGTAGCCCTTATCGACATATTTTAGATTGTTGTTTCAACAAGGTCAGAGTCGGTAAACGAGAAGTACAGCTACATGTTAGTGAAGTGGTACCTATTCCCTTCAGGATCATTCATCTCGATCATCTGGGACCATTCGTGCGAAGTAAGCATGGTAAATGTTACATTTTAGTCATCGTGTGTGCGTTTACAAAATATGTCGTCCTGAAGGCGTTAAGAAATACTAAGACTACAATGGTCTTAAAAATATTGAAAGACTGCATGACTATATATGAGCGGCCACAGTGTGTGGTTACTGACAGAGGAACGGCGTTTACCTCAAAAGAATTCGAGAAATTTATGGCGGACTACGAGATTCGGCACGTGAAAACAGCAGTGCGTAGCCCAAGGGCAAATGGCCAGGCGGAACGCATCAAAAGGACTGTATTAGCATCACTCAAATGCAGCGCAAAAAACGAGATAGAATGGGACGAAGCTCTACCCCAGCTTCAGTGGTGTTTGAATTCGCAGAGCAACGCAACGACTAAGCAGAGTCCACATAGCCTAGTGTTCAATGATAAATTGAAAGATGTGACAACGAACCGACTCATACAAGCGGTTCAAAACTAAGACGAGGTGCAGGAAAGATGTGACGACTTCCGAACGCAAGCCGTAGACGAACGAATACTGCAAGAGCAGGGTAAATGGAAGCAGCGAGTTGATGCGCGGTATCGGACACCAAAGCCGTATGACGAAGGTGATTTGGTGGTTATAAGTAACGTACCTTCTCCTACAGGGTCATCGCACAAGTTAGAACCGGCGTATAAAGGACCATATGCGGTTACTAAAGTCCTTCCACATGATCTTTACTTGGTTGAAGACTTGCCCGACAGGCAGAATACTCGCAAAAGGTACTCCGGGGTGTTTACCAACGATAATATGAAACCTTGGTGGTCCATTGGATCGGTAGAATCCGATGAAGCTAATCTAAGTTATGATGACGGCGACGTAGATGACGAAGTCGAAACTGACAATGACGCGAAATCGTTCGGGAGAGACGATCCATCAGGAACGGCCGAGCTGTAAAGTTACTTGGTAACCCTTGACGAGGAGGCATGCTTGCAATAGTGCGGCAGCATTAGGTAGTGCTGAAGCAACCGCGAATTTTGCTCAGCAGTCAATTTAATTACTTTTTCTATTTCTTAAACTAATTACTTAAATAAACCTAAATCTACTGAATACAACTTAATCGTTGTGAGTACATGTGTTTTGATTTGTATTTAAAACGGCCATCCCGACATAAATAAATAAAAATAAATAAATAATTCTCCAATCGAATACTCACCTATTACACATTCATTATTAGCGTAGGCCGAAACCCCGTTTTTTAGAATATTGATTGGTTATAGCAAAAATATGGTTCATTATGCTCTAGAAACAATCTGTGTGAAATATGACAATTTTTGGTCAATATCTTAGGATCGCCCAAATCTGCTAAAAATTTTTTTTCTTCTTAGCTTAGTTTGTTTCTCTACAAAAAAGGTCCATATACCAAATTATGTAGCACTAATACTTTACAAGATAATTGCAATTTTAGTAAAACAATTTATTAATTAATGCATTTATTAATTTTTATTTTTTGGGCACATTGATCTTTGATGGACTTGGGCGAGCCTAACTGCCATACCTAAACAAAAGCGTTGGGAGGAACGGTTTCTGACGCCTAGCGTTAGCGCCGAAGTGCCGTACCTAAACAAAAGCGTCAACGCTACGTCAAATGCAGAAATAACACCAACAATAAGCATAGGTTTGTTTGTGTGTAACACAGAAATGACAGTTTCGCCGTTTTCTGCAGCCAACTTTAATACCTAACGCCCTGTCAAAATCGGAGTTTCCAACCGCTCAGCGTTGACGCCGCGTTGTTTCGGTATGCTTCATACAAATTGTATGGGCATGAGAATTTTTTAACAGCCAGACAACGCTGACGCTTTTGTTTAGGTATGGCAGTAAGATATTGACCACAAATTGTCATGTTTCACACAGATTGTTTTTAGAGCATAATGAACCATATTTTTGCTATTACCAACCAACATACTAAAAAAAGCGGATTTTCGGCTCACGCTATTCATTATCGAAGAAGGGACTTAAAAAAAAAAGATTTATTTTCCAATCATTTTCGAATTGTTAACCAAGCCCAATGTTTTTTGGGTGTTAATAAAAACATTATACATATATGAGATTATCTGTGCAGTCCTGAAAAGAACTGAAGTGTACTGGTGTATTTTACCTGTTTAATTATGGGTTCATTCCAAAACGTTGAACTACAAAGCATCAGTCTCTTTTATTTCTAAGCCTCATTCGATTGTAATGCCAATTGTGTGCAACCACGGTTAGATGTTAGTTTTCAACTAGGTTACGCAAGTTAGACTTTTTCGCGGTTTAGAAATAAAAGAGACTGATTCTTTCTATTTTGACGTTTTGGAAATCACCCCATTAGAGCGCATTTTATTTATATAACAGTTTTCCCAGATTTAGTCCGAGAAGTAAGGGATCAGTCCTTAAGCTTAACACTTTTAAATTAATAGGTTGCATATCGGTAGTTTAAAAGATAGCTTACACCATCGATACCGCCGATAAGGGCGATAGTGCCATCGATTGTTTCCCACCTGTCGTTCCACCAAATTAACATTTTATAAAAATTAAGGGGGAAAATTTAAAAAATCACTTTGTTTTTAACATATTTATAAACAATTTACCTTGAACATATAAGCGAATCTAACTCTCTCTTTACTGTATTCAGTCTGAAGAGCAATATTTCGGAAATTAATACGAGCGTGATTGTATGAGTCATTGTTTTCGGTAATAAGAATAACACATAAACGTTTTCGAGGACGGCTCCATTCCGCTGGACATACCCCTGAAAAATTTTAATTTATCATTTATTAATTAGCGTAATATACCCAATGAAGGAAAAGTTATCAAATAGGACAGCGTTTCTTAAACTACAGTACGTAATGCCTACAAAGATGATATACGAGTAGATAAAAAATTACGAGAAAAACTATAATCTTCCTATTCGTCTTGAATACCACTAACAAATAGTGTCTTAAACTTTAAACTACTTGGAGAGAGAATATTCTGAATTCCGGTGGGTACGTATTTTATATGGCCAACTGTACCTGACCAATTCCATCTCAAATCATGCAATCCGACTGCACCTATCTCTCCGAAACACTTGAAATTGTAGTATATTATTCTACTTGTAAAATAAGCGCACACGTATTTTTTTATTTGTCGATATCATCAAAATTGCATGTTTCATGCACTTTTGAAAAATGACTCATCAGATTGCCTTTCAAAATATAACAAATATTATCTGAATAGGTCTTTTCGTGAATGGCCTTAAATTACTAATTTTTTTGATAGCACACTGACTATGACAATGGATCTTCAGCGAAAATTATTTTTTTGTAAAATATTTTAGAAACTGGGCGTGACCCGCCCAGTTATGTCAAATATTTGTATCTCGAAAACCACTTCCCCAATCTGTACCAAATTTGATATACACATTTTGCCTGACCTTCTTCTCTCTTGAAATTTTTTGAAATTGGACAAAAACCACGCCCTCTAGAAGTATCGCTAACATTGATTTTTCCAAAATTATCCTTTTTTACTTACAACTTTTAAGCATTTGAGAAAAATGAACCACACAATAATTTAATGTTTCCTCAATGGATTTCAAACAACTTGATGTATAATTTAGTTTTGCGCGTTCAATTTAAAAATTTACAAGTGACAAATGTAAAAAACCAATTTATGTGGCTTTTGACGTCGAATATTTTTTTTTTTTTTTGGATTTGAAGTCGATGCGTCCTTTTAACATTTAATTTTTAATGGAATGCCCAACATTCGTACCAAATTTCAGCTCAATGCGAATTATTGTAAGCTTAAGTTTTTTAAATCACGAGCACATAACTGAAATTCTTTGTATACGTTCCCTCAGCTGTTAGAATACAAAATGTGAAAAAAGAAGCACATGTTTTCCCGAAATGCCTCACAGCTGAGATCACCTGATTCTATGTGCTACAGGGTTACACTCAATATATATAAAAAAAACTTTAAACGGACTCTGACAAAACCAGCAAGAAAAGTTCTATTAAGCTTTGGAGTCATTGACGAAAATGCCTTAAAATATTAAACTGCTATGTAAACATAGGAATTCATTTAATTCAATGCATATTTTGCCAATTTTCAAGGTTATTTTAATAACTTTAGTCCTTTTCTACATCCCTTTAAACGCCCTGTCTAACATTTTGACAGGTAATTTCTAGGTTTTTACAGGATATTTCTGTGTATTTTTCAGGCAGAAGAAGAACATTTTTCACTTATATGTATGCACAATGGGCGCAACGTTTTAAAGCAATGCACCATACATTTTTAACGTTTTTACGCGTTTTTTGATGTGTACACATCTTTGGTTTCGGTAGGGGTAAAATTTGCGAAGCTGTAACTCATAGTCCAGCAGAAAATTTCGAAGGGCATTGCAGCAGTAAATTTTTAATTTTGTTAGAAGCAACCTGTGTTTATTTGCTATTGCAAATGGCTCATACATTTAGGCATATGATATTGCTTTCGATTATGCAAACTCCGCGCATACATACGGCTTTGTACTTATATGTATACAATAGGGCGGGTCAATTTGTATGGATCGATTTTTTCGACATTGTTCCCAGCATATTCGGATTCTTCATAAATTTCTAANTTTTGAGTTGAAATTTCAAAGGATAATCGTTATTTGCGGTCCCTGGATATTACAATATGGCTCTCAAAAGAAAGAGGTTATGAAGGCTTACACGAGAAAATATTTTTGGGGGGTTGCCACCTGTTTCAAATTTTAATTAAATTGAATTGGTAAGACAAATTAAATGTTGCAATATGGGTATCAAATTAAAAAGGTTNAATTGCTGTCCGTTAGCCTCGCTAAGACTCGAAAACGGCTTGACCGATTTTAATATTTTTTTATTTTTTCNTTATGAAGGCTTACACGAGAAAATATTTTTGGGGGGTTGCCACCTGTTTCAAATTTTAATTAAATTGAATTGGTAAGACAAATTAAATGTTGCAATATGGGTATCAAATTAAAAAGGTTTAAGAAGGCTTACTGCTGACAATATTTTTGAGTCGAGTGGCCACCAATTTNAATATTTTTGAGTCGAGTTGCCACCAATTTCGAAAATTTAATTCAATTAAGTTAATAAGATAAAGTATGCATTATAATATAGGTGTCAAACAAAAAGTATTTGAAAAATTATTGATTAAGAAATATTTTCTATAGGCCGGCCACTTACCTGAGCGCTAAAAACTAAAAGCCATACTCACAAATATTATTCAAAGCTTTTGAGGCACGCATCAATGTGGAATACTGTAACTCCGTCAAGTTAGTCTTTATTGATGGCAAACAATGTACTATCATGTTTGGCAATGATATCACCCCATCGAACAATGCACTTAGACTCGTNTAAAACCAGAAAAAATAGAGAGTTGCCACCTGTTCAAAAATTTCAGTATAAGTTAATGACATACCAGGGACCGTAACGGTTATAAGTTTTATTATAAAAATCACTTAATCGTTATTAACTGAGTTTTATTTTTTGCTCGGAAAATAATTGTTACGTTTTAAGTTTTATTTTTTGCTCGGAAAATAATGGTTACGTTTTAAGTTTTATTTTTTGCTCGGAAA